CCGCGGTGCCAGCTCGCCTCTGGGTGAGCAATCGCTGGAGGAGCGTGGCTCAGCCTGCCGAGACCTGTCGGCGTGTCCCTGGGCGAAGCGGATCTTGCAAACGCTCTGGCCCTGGGCAGATGGAGATTGTTGTGGTTTTCCCCTTTCCCCTCCCTTTCCCCTGGCAGAAGCCCATGGTTGGGGTGAGCTGTGCGTTGCTCACTGCGGTAGAGTTTCTCCCCTTGGCATTGCTTTCTGGCGCGGAGATCCAAGGAGGGAGCGACTCGCCCGCGGCCGCCTCCTGCAAATGCAGCTACTTAGCGCATGGAGGAGCAGTTTCGCCTCCGGGTCCTGCCTGGGGGAGCAGGGCAGCAAGTTTTGGGCTTTGTGCAAGCCTTACACCAGCCCGTCAGCATTGCTGCTGGAGGGCTGTACGGAGGAAAGGATGCTCTGGCAGTGCCTCGAGGTTGGATTTGCATTGGGTTCATCCCCAGGAAGGCTGTGGCTCGGATTCCTCCTCCCTGCCCCGGCTCTGGTTCCTGGCAGGGTATGGGACACATAAATATAGCCCGGGCAGCTTTTCCTCTGGGCACTTGGCAAGGGAAAACGGTGTTGCCGGTAAACCTGAGGCTGGAGTTCAAGGGGTGCCCTGGTTTTGCTGCTGGTCAGCTGGGTGATGCAGGCAAGTCTTTGCACCTGCCTGTGCCTCAGTTTCTCCACCTGCAAAGCTTTGGGATGTGCTTGCAGCCCCTGTGCTGAGCTTCGGCCTCTCCCAGGAGCAGGGCTGCTGCCGTGGCTTGCGGGAGGCGCTGGGACGCGCAGCTTGGTGCGAGGTGGCTTTGGGGAATGGCTGGTGGCATCAGCTTGGTTCTGCTGGTCCTTCCCAGCTGGGGTGGTGACACTGCCCTGCAGGGTCCCCAGCCTGTCCACCTGAACCTGTCCCCAGCTCAGACTGCACATGAAGCCACTTATTACAACTCTGCTCCCTGCTTCAGCACAGCAGCCAGAAAACCTCTGTGACAGCTCACCTTACACTGGATGACTGGAGGGGATTTCACCTGCCCTTTGGCCACTGTCGACCCACAGTTCCTCACCTCCTCCTTCTTTTGGCTGACCTTCCCACTCCTCCTCCTCCTGCAGCCCTGGGCTGGGGCTGGTCCCTGTGGTGGGATGTGATAATGCTGCTTGCAGAGAAAGCCCCAGAGCATTTGGAGCCCCAGTAGGACCAGTAATGTAACCGGTACCAAAACGCCTCTTTGGCTACCAGTAGCTTAAGTCATGTGCAGATGTCCTTCTGCTGGGTGGTATGGCTGGATCGTGTCCCCTTCCTGGAGCTCTGCAGGTGGCTTCATGTCCTTGCACCATGTGCACGTGGGGACATGCTACGGGCGTCTGCGCATGGCAGTGTCTGCAGCGTAGGATGTGTCTCGCAGCGATCTCCATGACTGTGCTCTCGCCTGCTGGAGCGTCTGCAGCCGGGATCGAGGTCTGGCTGGGAGAAGGGGCTCACGTGGGGATGTCTGGGGCCACCAGGCTGGTGTGGCATGGGGTGCACCAGGGTGTTTTCTGTGCTGCAGCCATGTGCTCTGCCAGATGGGACTTGCATTCCCTTGGAAATGTGTCGCTCCTGCTCCAGAT